TTTTAGCCTTGACATGGTGATTCTTTTCTTAGCAACAATCTGTGGACTTGGTGGCACACTCACTGTGGTAAACAACTTGAGCCAAATCGGTGCATCCTTAGGATATTCATCACACAGTGTTACAACATTTGTGTCCCTTATGGCTATTTGGATCTATATGGGTAAAATAGTGCAGGGTGTGATATCAGAAATTATCATAGCCAAATTTAAAGTTCCTAGGCCTATTTTGTTCACTTCAATTCTTGTCATGCCTTGTATTGGTCACCTTCTGATTGCTTTCAATGTCCCTAATGGTCTGTATGCAGCCTCAATGATAATTGGATTCTGCTTTGGGGCAAATTGGCCACTGCTGTTTTCCATCATATCAGAACTTTTTGGTCTGAAATTTTACTCAACTCTGTATAATGTTGGGTCAGTGGCAAGTCCAATTGGGTCATACTTGTTCAGTGTAAGGGTTGCAGGGTATTTGTATGACAAGGAAGCCAGAAGGCAAATGGCAGCATTAGGAGTGAAGAGGAAACCTGGGGAGGAGTTGAATTGCTATGGAAGTGAGTGTTACAAAAAGGCTTTCATTATAATCACTGCAGTGAGCCTGTTTGGGGCACTTGTGTCTCTCATCTTGGTGTCAAGGACTAGAGAGTTTTATAAAGGTGACATATACAAGAAGTTCAAAGAAGAAGATGGAACTGCTGAAGCTGAAATTGGTCTGACTCAGAACAAGTTTGCACAACAACCTCCTGCAAATGAAGGCTAGATATCTTTGCCAAGGAATTCATAAATGCTTTATCATTAGCATAATCGATACCAAAAGGAAATTAGAACCATAAACCTTAAGAATATGGATCTTCTGAGTTTTTATACTCGTTCTTCTCTTATATCTTCAAAATACTTTTACTTTTAATATATTAAACAAATTTTAAGATATTTTAGTATATCAAAATTACTGTATTTCAAAGATAACAATAGAAGAACAATAAAAAAAAATTCAACTCTATAGCAGCTGCAGTAAATTTCCTTTTGTAGTTTGTAGTTTATATAGGAGGATATTGCTGGGTAATGTATTGTGTTCAATAAATCACTCAAATGTAGAATATATATTAGCTTGTAACCATAATCAATGGTCAATCGGTATATACACACATATATATAATATACATATATATATATATATAACGTACACATATATATATATATAGATGACCGTGACGGTGTAATATATATAGATATATATATATATATATAAATAGATAAAAAATATAGATATATATATATATATATAATATTATATATATGCGGTTTGTTAACGCGCGTACGTCTGTTTTTCAGTTGGTACAATTTTAGCAATGTGTACCGGATTTTAGTAGACAAAAACCCTTATATATTATGGATTCTAAGTTTTAAGGTTAAGGTATTTTAATAAATTTATTCTCAAAACTAAAAAAAAAAAAGAAAGCTCCACAAACCTACCTACCTCTGACATTCCTCTCAACCCTTTCTCTTTCATGTTTCTCGCTCCAATCTTTTCTCTGTCGTCCGTGTAGCCCCAGTTGAAAAAATCAGAAACACTTGCCATATGATTTTATAATGAGTTTTTATTTTATATATTTTTAATTTTTGTCTTATCTAACTTTTATCTAATTTCACAAGCATAATGACATCAAAGGAATTGGTAATTGGCCTGGAAAAAAAATCAGAAACACTCGTTGTTAAACAATTCTTACAAAAATATTACTTTAAATGAGTTTTCATTTTATAATTTTTTTGTCGTATATAATTTTATCTAATTTCACAAGCATAATGACATCCGAAAGAATTGGTAATTGGCCTGGAGGTTTTTTAGAGATGATAGTCAACATATGCCAGATGTGAAATTAGAGAGATTAGTGAAAATGGTGAAATTGAAGAGATCTTGAATGAACCTTTGCCTGAAAGGTGAATATGTCAATACTCAAACTCTTTACAAAGGCAAATTGTTTAAAGGGAAGTGTTTGATTTTTTCAATTGGGACTACAGTAGGGATGACAGAGAAAAATGTTGGAGTGAGAGAAATGAAGAAAAGAGAAAGGATTGGAGAGGAAGAGGAGGGAGAAGGAGGCTTTGGGGGGGAGGGGGGGGTTTTTTTTTTTTTTCTTTTTTTTTCTTTAAGTTTTGGAATGAAAAATTTATTAAAATACCCTTAACCTTAAAGCTTTAGAATCCATGATATATAAGGGTATTTTTGTCTACTAAAATTCCGATACACATTGCTAAAATGTACCAACTGAAAAACAAGCGTACACGCGTTAGCAAACCCCATATATATATATATTATATATATATATATAATATATATATAATTATATTTATTTTGATGATGAAGGTTTAATTACACTTTCAATTTCAACTTTTTGTTGTTTTTATTGGGTTTGGTCTTTTTTTTTAACCAAGTTGCATTTTGTATTAAACGAATTCAATTTATTCATTTATGTTATATTTGTATAAATAATGTTAACATTGTTTTTGTAAATAAGTTAGTGGTATTTTTGTTTTTATTTTTATTTTTGGTTTCTTTTACTTCTTAAGTTTGCAGTATTAATGTCAATGTCACGTGTTAATGTCAACATTATATATGTCACGTGTTAATGTTAGCATTAAATATGTGAAGTAACAATATATTGTATTTAATTCAGTTTATATATATATTTTGGTTTAATACCCTATTTTGTCCTCAGTTTCGCTCGAAAATGTCAAATTAGTCCATCATTTAAAAAGTGCGCGTCAATTAAGTCCTCACTTAATAAAATTTACGTCAATAAAATCCCTCACTTAATAAAATTTAAGTCAATGGAATCCCTTCTGTTAAATCCATACAAACGACGATGTTAAAGTAGAGTTCTACTGGGACGTGTTGAGTTGGGTGGTTGATAGTGAAAACGACAATGGCTATGGTGTTTTTGTGTTTCAAGTAGGTGATGGTGGCGTAGTGTGGCCTGAAATGGTGGGGCCAGAGAAGAAGTTGATGAAGAAGAGGTTGGTGAGACCCACTATGGCGTCGTCAATAGCGACTCTATCGCTCGTCAAACTCTGGGTGTTGCAGTGACGGAGGAGAGCAGTGATGGAGGAAGGAGCTCGTCGTCTCATCAACTAGGTCGTGTGGGAGAGTAACGGTGGTTTTCTCATTGTTCTTTTGGCAAATTCATGACTTCACTTATGAAAATCATTTTTAACTTGTTTCAATTAATGAAACTATGTTTTCATGAGATTTCAACTTTGAATATTGTCCTGGATTGTAGCGCAGTCCTGTATCTCAACTTCTGTATATCTTGTATTATTATTTGATCTCTTGGGAATTATTTATCTTAAGTTGTCTTCAAGTAGTATGAACAAAATGTCAATGGTTATCCGTTTCTATTCCTTTGTGTATAATCCATTTATCTATCTATAATACTATATATATATATATATATATAATATATATAAAAATATATATATATATATATATATATATATATAAAGATTAAGGCAGAGCACAGTAGCACCTTGATTCTCTGATTCAATAATACCATCTCACCATTAGACATCATATGGTAGGCAAAGTACAGATAGAAAGGTAACTATATCTTTCTTTAAAATATCAGAGATTCTCTGCAATAGGACTTCTTTATTTACTACCACTTTCTAACATTAAATCTACCCCTGGGCTTCAAAACTAGTGTGAAATGAATTTGGCATGCCAGAGAGGCCTAAAAGATCGGCAAACATTGTGCAGGCTGGCCACTGAAATAGTAAAGCCACATTGTTTGAGATTGCAACTCCAAATTCCTATGCTTCATCCTATAAAAAGTGGGAGGAGAGAGTATTTAAAGTAAAAGAAAAGTAGGAGCGAAAAAAAAACTGACAAAAACCTGTATTGCACAAAAAATAGAAAAAAAGTAGAAGAGAAAGAAAAATAGTTAACGTCGTTTGTACATATCTAACGGAAAGGATTTCATTGACATAAATTCTATTAAGTGAGGACTTAATTGATGCACTTTTTAAAGGATAGATTAATTTGACATTTTTGAGCGAAACTAGAGACAAAATAAGATATTAAACCATTTTTTTTTACTCAATTGAATTATTATTATTATTTTTTAAAAAGTTGAACAATGTTGAATTCAATTTACTTGTAATTTATTTTATTTTATTTATTAAAAATTATTGCAAAATATACTATTTATTTTATAAAATTGATTTCTTCCTTACCAGAAACTAATTCATCTTGTATTGTGTGATTACTGTTTTGTTTAAAATAAAAAAAAAAGTTTATTTTCTTTGTGTTGTTGTTTGGAAATGTATAAAGTTGTTTTTGTTCTTTACATGAGTGGAAGTAATAAACGAATGTTGGAAGAGAATTTAGAAGGCGAAAAGGGTGTAAGAGGAAAATTTGCATGTGTGATAAAGAACTATATCTTGATTTTAAAGAAGAAGAACTTGAAGAAGACACGTTGAAATTTAAATAACATATGACAAAGTTGAAAAATAAACATTTGGAAGAACATATCTTCTCGAGGCTCACGATACTCCATGAAAATTGAAATTCAAGGAATATAGAAATCATAGTTTGAAGCATAATTATACAATAATTTAGACAATTAAAAATATTTGTAATTCTTTTAATTACAAACAATTTGTTTTTATATTTTTTAAATTTAAAGTTATTTTTAGACTTAATGTCTTTGTCTCCTTTCTTTATGTCTCCTTATTATAAAAAGGAGATCTTTAACAAATTACAAAATCTTACTCCAAAAAATATGACTATTGAATAGTATGTCCAAGAAATGGAATGTCACTTTGATGAAAATCAATGTAGAAGAAACATCTATGGCTATAATGACTAGACTCTTGAATGAATTAAATAGGAAGATTCAAGATGCGGTAGAAATTCACCATTTTTTATATTTATTTGATTATTTTTTATTTTTTGAAAAATATAAAAAAATATTTTTTTATATATGTGAAATGTAAATGTTTTCACCTTATATTTATCCTTGCTTTTAAGATGTAAAATGGAAGAGTTGAGGAAGAAGTAGAAGAAGGAAGAATAATGGGAGATGAATACCAACTTCCACAAAGAACCCTATGGAGCAACGTAGAGAGAAGATGCTTAAACCTTCTCCAATGCAAGACAAAGAGCGTTACCACCCTTCTTCAAATCCACGCCTTTATGCTCCGACATTCTTTCCACAACAACCTCAACCTCCTCACCGCTTTCATCACCACCCGCGCCTCCCTCGCCGTCGTCTCCCCTACGCGCCATCACGCGCTCGTACAACACGCGCGCTCCTTCTTCGACCTCGTCCGCATCCGCGACACCTTCCTCTGCAACTCCATGATCGCTACTCACTTCGCGGCTCGCCAGTTCTCCGAGCCTTTCACCCTCTTCCGAGACCTTCGCCGCAAAACGCCGCCTTTTACGCCTGATGGGTACACCTTCACCTCGCTCGTGAAGGGTTGCTCGGCTCGTGTGGCCAGGCGGGAGGGTTCGCAGCTTCACGGGGTGGTTTTAAGAAACGGGCTTTGCTTTGATTTGTACGTGTCAACTGCTTTGGTGGATATGTATGTGAAGTTTCGGATTTTGGATGATGCCAAGAAGGTGTTTGATGAAATGTCTGTAAAGAGCATGGTTTCGTGGACCGCGGTTATTGTGGGGTATGCGAGGTGTGGGAATATGGGTGAGGCTAGGAGGCTTTTCGATGAGATGGAGGATCGGGACGTTGTTGCTTTCAACGCAATGATTGATGGGTATGTAAAGACGGGATGTGTGGATTTGGCGAGGGAGTTGTTTGATGAGATGGAGGAGAGGAACGTGGTTTCTTGGACTAGTATGATTTCTGGGTATTGTGGTAATGGTGATGTTGAAAATGCTAGGTTGATGTTTGACGTTATGCCGGA